ATACTTCTCAATACAACTAATTCAGTGCAATTCATTCTTCTTCATTACTTTATAATTTATCCATAGATAATATTTTTCAGAACTCTTGGAATCAAGCAGACTGCTCTTACAATTTGAATCAACCTTGGAATAGATATATTCTATAAGGCCAGAATTATAATAAGAAAAGTAATATATAGGAGTAGTATAATAACAACAATCAAAATAACAGGTAGGATATACAATAACTATCATTATACAGGAATAGATCAGATCAAAGGCAAAGAAATGAGCAAAAAGAGAAGTAACAAAACTAATCTATCTATTACTATAAGCAAAATAATGATCTAAATTTTATTAATATACTGCAACAACTTTCTAAATTAATTGTTGGAATAAATACTGTATATTAAGGAAAAATAATTAAACAAAAAAAAAAATTGGTAAACTTATCAACCTTTAAAGGAGAGGAACAGGATTCTCTCACTTGGTTCAATAAATTTGATAAAGAATGCAAGACAAATTATATCAAGAAGGAATAAAAATTTGAAATATTTTCTTCTTACATTAAAAGAATTGTATACACTTGATAGTCTTTTATGAATAATTAACTTAACTATTAAGACAATGCAAGACATTTAGCTGAATCTTTTGAGTATTAATTCTATGCAACTTAATGTATTACTTATTACAAATCAAGATGGATGAATTAATCAAGGTAACAAATACAAAAATTAGAAAAAACTATGAATGAATATTTAAATACAATAATTATTCTCTACAAGAATATTGTTTCTGACAACAACTGTCCTTTAAAGAATAAAACCAGGCAATTTATTAATAGGTTAAGAAATAAATTAAAGGAATTAGTTAAGATTTCTTGTTCTTTCAACATAACTGAAACTATTAATCATATTTATGCTATTAAATCAATCTACTTCAGGAATTTAATTTGAGTGTCTATTCTTTGAGATGCAATATTTAAATTAAAATAATAATAAGCTCAAGGATATTAAAAAAAAAATTTATAACTTTCTTAGGGATTACAACAATAGATCATTTCAACTAATAGAAAATATAATAGCAATAATAATAATAATAATAATAATAAAGAAAATTAAAGGAAAACCTGTACCTGCAACAATTGTAGAAAAGTTGATTATTTGTAAAGGTGATTATAGATCATATTACAACAACAACAATGACAAAAATAAAAACAATAGCAATAATTTTAAGAGATTCTATAACAATAATAATAATAATAACAATAGGAGTCAGTTCAATAATAATAATAAACACTTAGCTAGCCAATGTTTTTAAAGGAATATCAATAATTTAACAAATAGAAGTGAATTTAGCAGTAACCAATTATCTTCCAGTAACCAATCCAATAATTACAATCAATGGCTTAATTTCTTTATGCAGGATTTTGCTAAAGCAATAAATTTTATAAACTGGTATTTAAAAGATTAAGGGAACCTAAAAAGAGTTAGGAATTCTTTATTTTTTCAAATTCCTTTACATCAACATATCTTTTACTTGAACAAACTGAACAAACTAACTCTAAAGTTGTGAAAGTATTGTATTATGATACAAAATTAACAACTATTCTATCTATTTGATTATTGATATTGGATCAACAAGCAGTGTTATTTCTAAACCATTTTTAAACTCTTTGAAATATACTATTTACAAATTATTTTCTATTAACTTTTAAAAATAAATGAAAAAAAAGGATCATTGAACAAGATAAAAGATTTATTAATTACTATCAAAGGATTTACCATATCTATTACTATGAATATGTCTAAATCAATTTAATATATAGTTATTATGAAGATTGACTGGATCACAAAAATCAAGGCTATTATTAATTATAATCATCAAACTATAGGCTTGAATTATTTGAGTAAAAATATCCAATATAAGATCATATGCTGAAAAAACTTAAAATTTAAGTATAATAGGAGGCTTATTAGAATTGAATCTTTGAATAAGGAAAAAAAAAACCTATAATTCAACTGATAAACTGGAATATGAAAAAACTTTGAATAAGAATCAAACTTACTGTGCACTTTTGAAAAACTTTAACAAACAATTACTGGTAAAAATAAATAAATCAATAATCATTATTGAATAGTATGAGAAACTAATAATCTATATTAGGAACTTGAAGTCATATAGAAACTACTTTTAACTTTTAAGCCTCTGCAAAAAGGATAAAAGAATAAAAAACAATTTTTGATTTGATCATTGTTTGAAATAAGAATCTGATATTTGTATCACTTGTCAACTCAAAACTAAGAATTGGAACTTATTTAATACTTGAATATATATTACAAAAAAAAAGTTGAAGAAATCATTCGATTTGGCTGAGAAATTATTAAATCAATTCAACTATTTGATACACTAATACCAGGATATAATTGCAACTGATGACTCATCTGCTAAATATACTGACTTGATCACTTACCATAATATTATTGAAAATATTCTACTAATTAAATAGTAATCTTATACTATAGAATACCCCTTGTTGAATATGAATTTGTAAAAAAGGAAATTAAATACATATTGGTTTAAGAAATCATTCAACAATCTTATAGCCCTTGGACTTCTTCAATTTATTGATCAAAAAGAAAAATAATCAAACAAGATTTTGTTTTAATTACTAGAAGTTTAATAAAGTCTTCAAAAAGAATGCTTAATCATTATCTAGAATTAATAAAATTTTTGATCCACTAGAAAAGGTCAAATGGTTTACTTTTTTGAATATGGTGTAGCAGGCTAATTGGCGAGTCTGTCGCTAATGACCAAAAGCTCGCATAACCTGCAGATAGAAAAGTGCGCCCTTCTATCATATGCACTATACCAAAAATTAAGCCAAAGGCGTAAAAAGATTTGGGCGAGTTTCAAGGTAGTTTTCCCTAAAACTACTTATAATTTTCACTGTTATAACGATCTATCCAAAAGATTCGTCTTAAGATTCGTCGTGAGAGTCGTCATTTATTAAGTCATTGAAAAAAGTTACATTTATACATTTTTACATATAGGGCTATTACATAATCACTATGGCTATTCTAGTATTATGTCAAGCATAAATTGCCTCTTGGTCAGCTAATTTCCTATTACCTCAGCTCATAGTTTTTTACCTTTTTGACGCGAATGGATTGTTCGCGCATTCTTCTAGCTTGTAAGGGGTATGGTGATAGTCAGCAATTGATTGTTTCGCGTAAGCTTCGGTCGCGTCACGATCGTCGGTCACGTGACCACGGCGAAAATTCTGAACTTTGTTTGACTTCTTTGGCCTTTAACACTATGCTATAGATTACACAATGTTTGGTGCAGTCGTTCGCTCGTTATCGCGTGTTTTGTGACAGAATTTTTTTTTATGTCCAGAATACCTAGTAGAAATTTGTAGTTCTCGTGTTTACGGATCACTTGGTTGAATTTTTGACTGAGGGATAGTTGATACATGATATTGCTATTTGATTATCAATGTAAAGGTCAACAGTAAATTGAGCAGATATTGTTGTTATTGCAGTGTAGATTGCCATAATATAATTTCACTCAGAAGTTCAATTTAACCATTTGATTGCCAATTTTTATGAAAGAGTTTGTTTTTTTTTTTCTGTGACAAATGGTTTTCACCTGTCGAGATTGAATGTATAAATTAGTTGTATAAAACACTATAATTTTTTAATCTTTTTGATAATTTGTAGTAAGTGGGGGATGTCAAGGTCGTTAGTTTAGCCGATTTTCCTTTTCGAGTGGAGCCTTTACTTGACCAGATTTTTTTTTTTTTAATAGTTGATAACATCATGAACCATCGATTTTAATATATTAAATGGCGAGAGGTAAAAAATTACATTTCCAAGCACCAATTATCTGAAACCGTTTCTTTTTAACAACTCTTTATGTTTTTGTGCCTTTGTGAAAGAATTTCAAGCACAAACAAAAAAAATTATTTCTTTTAAAAGCTTAGCCTTTCTTCATCTCAACAATGTAAATTTTATACAATATGTCACCAACAATGGCACAAAAAAAAAAAACCATTAACGATTTCTTGCGTTCACCGGTCATGTCGAAAATTGATTGACATCCGGTGTGCCAATATAATCCTCGTGATGATTAGCTCCAAGATAATTATCAATTTTTTTAAAACGAAACTTTAAAAAACATTTTTTTTTGCATCCTAATGTGAAACAGGTACTCAGTTTAAAAAGGAAGCAATTATTCATCTTCATGAGACTTGATTAGATATGTAAGAAATTATCGTAATATGATTTTAAAACTTTTGCGAAATCATGAATTTCTTATTTATGGTCTGATTCATACAATGAATTTTTTCCCGAAAAATTTAACCTATTGAGTATGTACTTTAGGTACCTGATTTGGTATACCACTCATTTAAATACACGCATACAACATACAGTATATATTTACTCGCTAGTGTTTGTATAAGAGTAGACGACATACCTAATTGGCAAACAAGCGTCGTGACTTGAAAATCGAGAATGTTTTATGAGATTCGCGTGAACGAGATCAAAATAAAAAAATTTCGGACAAGCAATAATTCCTACCGGTAGATTGCATACTCTTCATACACCAACATACCAGATGCACCATGAGGACATCGTCCTGAAGACAAAAATATATGAACATAAGCAGACAAACAAAATACTTGTATTATTCCACGAATATGTTGAAAATAGCGAATTACGTAAAATATTAATTATAGAGAATAATACCTTTTCGTCCCCATGTGCTATCGAATCCTGTGGGAGGACCACGAGTATCTTGAGTAACAGCGTGAGGTTGCCATGCATTACCAATTACAACCTATTACGCGCGTGAATATAATGATGAATTTAACTTGATTATAAATTATTGAAATTAAAACATAGAGGCATAAAGTACCTTTGAAATGAACATTATTCTGCATCTCCGTGAAGTTTCATTTGGGCACACCCTTTCCTTTTCGAAAATCGTGTCATTTTTTCATCGTTATGTAACGTTTATCAATCAGGTTTATCAAAAAAGAAAAAGGCACCTACACCCCCGTGACCATAAAAATGAGCTTTTGAGGAGAATGGAGTAAAATAGAGACCTTGTCCGAGCCTCTGAAAACTTCTCCCCTGATTATTTTGGCCAACCTGAAAAAGATAAAATTTTCAATCATTTTGTCTAGAAAAAACAAACATTATAAAGTTTACCTACCTTGGACATGTCAAAACCATTCATAAGAATACCGCATCCGCCACAGACAGTTTGCTTACACAACGAATTTTGATTGTTCACATTAAAAATTATAGAACACATATGATCCGTTCCGTGATACAGGATCATCTCGTTTCCCTCCAAGAGCCCCTTGGGTCCATACGCTCCGCGACTTTCAACTTGTGCGCGGTAATTTTTGTAGTTTTGAACAATAGTTGGATGCAAGTATATATTGTAAATGGCCTCTATCCTTACTCCTATATGAAATTTTAATATCATAAGGATAAATATCAAATAATGATGAGAATATATCAAAATAAGAAAATAGAGTTACCGTTCGCGTTAGGCTTCACCCAGTCGTTTAAAAATTTTGTTTCTGTATCTTTGAAAAGTTGAGATGCCCTTTGGATTTCAACTAGATTTGTATATTTGGTCGAACTTTGAATTCTTATACTACTGGGCATGTTCGAAGGGTTTGCTTAAGTTGTATTACAAGAAACTTAATTTGATGAAAAATTTTCATACACCGTGCGAAGATTTGAAGAAAGAAAATTTTCATACATTCCCAAGTGTCCAGATGATCAGCGCAAAGTTCATAATCTTCATCTGTAGAGATCTTATTGCAACTACGAATCGCACAAATCATTCCAAGCAAATCTTAACTGAAAACAAAAAAAAAAAAAAAAAAAAAATTTTTTTTTTTCTTTTCTTTTCGAATTATTCACCTGAGAAGCTCTTAAAATAAATTTTAGCTATGTCGTCATTCCGGATCAATCAGATTATTAATCAGTTGTGTCAGTTCAAATCTTTATCAAACTCGGCAGAAAAACGCGATCATTAAACAAGCTTTACTATATAACGCACTAAATGAAATATTTAAAGAGCATGTAAAATTCCGTCCTAAAAAAAAGAAAGAAAGAAAGAAAGAAGAAAGAAAAAAAAAAAAAAATTAATGTCAAGACAAACCCACGATAATGCTCATCAAATGGGCATTGACTTTCCACACAGAAATTATTCATTGATTACGGAGTACTTGCGTGAAATAATCAAAATGTGTAACGTTATTCTGGACAAAACATTGTGTGAAAAGAGTCTGGAAGAGGTCTCGCCTAAAACTAAAACGCAGAAAAACAACATAAGGACTCGTAAAAGGAACAAAAGGAAGAAATTAGAAAAAAATTTGGAAAAGAGCAAAAAACAGGAGGAGAGTCAAACTAATAGACACATTTTTAGTCAAGGCGATTATAAGTCCCCTAAGTTGACTAGTGACCCTGAGGAACTTCGTAAGAATTCCGTTGGTTGGGGTATGGCCTATTGGAATGAAGATAATGAAAAAACGAGTAAAGACGGTGATAAAACTGTTACGAACCAACTCGATAATATCGGTTCCAATCCTTCGAGAGCCAATGAAGTAAAGAGACAAGAAGCAATCAAAGATAACTTACCTAACCATGAAATTAAAAGAGTTGGTAATTGCACCTGTCCAGTTCTCATTGAATTACCAGGAGGCTATCCTTGTTCCTGTGGATCTTCTAAATTAACGGACGGTCATATCATCAAAACCGATATCGAAAAAATTTTTAATGAGCCCCCGCCGGAACTCGAACCTCCGATTCAACCACAGAAGGTGAACCCAACAGTCCAAGATCCACCATCTTCAAAATGGATATCGCAAATAAATGATTGTGTTCTCGCAGGGTTAGATCCGGTTAAAAGCCATGGCGGCGAAAACAGAGATAATTGCAATCGCGTTAATGGGTCCTCTGGAAAAATGCCCTATTCTCAAGCTGCAAACAGCAGATCGGTGAATGAGACGAAATTCGATAGTCGAGTTTCTCAGGGGAATAGCACGAATCAAGACAATAGAGAAAATGACAATAACGGACAAAAAAGTGATAAAAATGAATCACCCATCACCAAAAAATCAATTTCGTCAATTGTCCTCAATAAAGTTAGATCAATCGCACTCTTCGTCTTATTCGATGAAAACATGGTCTTTGTTCCAGAAATTGATGAATTGCACCAATTAGGATTTCATCCCATTATTCGAATGGTTCCTCCAGATTGTCACAATTATACAAACACGAAAGAATTTATTATCGACGTGGCATTGAATTGTTGGGCTAACGGATGGAGAATTGTCTTATTTGTATCAACTCCGAATTCAGAATTACACGACGGCTTTATTAGAATACTGCGTGAAATTTTTCTCAAGCTCACATTGGACATCATTGTAATTCGGAACACCAATAGTTCTTACCGCAATTGGAGATATTATGAAGCTGGTGTTAGCGCCGTTATAGTCAATAGCAAAAAAGAAGCGATAATGCACGTCTTGTCAAGCACGGTAATTTTAGATCATGAAAATTGTTCGATATTTTGTTAACCAACTGATAAAATTTTTGACACTGCAGGATAATCAAATATCGAGAACCGAAGGAGTTGTCAAATTCTATGAGAAATATAACAATTATTATGAGTTTACAAATTTCTATTTGGCTCCAATAATCGTCGATGGTGAACGGTGGCCCTCGACTGAACACTATTGTGAGTAATTGTTACTTTACTTATCTCAATTGATAGATAAGCTTCACAATGCTCACATCTGTATTAAAATTTAAAAGTTCAAGCGTCAAAGTTTGAGGATAAATATCAAACTCTTCGCGAAAGAATTAGAACGTTTATTCATGCACGCGATGCATTCAGAACTGCACGAGAATATGACAAGTGTAAGCGCTCCAATTGGGAGATGCCTCTTGGAAACCCATTTAAGGAAGAAATCATGAGAAAAGCATTGAAATGCAAATTTACACAGCATGAGAATCTAAAATACTTGATCCTTTCCACTGGAACAGCAAGAATTTACGAACACACAATCAACGATCGTTACTGGGGAGATGGAGGTCCGTATGGTGGAGGTTTGAATCGCCTGGGTGTGCTATTGGAAGAGGTCAGGTATCAATTAATGCTCAATGAGTGCCTGCGAATGTCTTACAAATATGCAAACCGATATAGGTGGATGGTGCCCGAGCTGCACGTGTTGTTTAGTCTTGAGGATATATAAAAATTTTTTTTGTTAAATTCGCGTTACTTGATTTCGCTCCAGGATGAAATGCTTTTTCAGATATAATGTATCATTTTTGAATTTCAAATAATATACTGCAAGTAGTCACCGGGCAACTCGATTAAATCGAAAATAGAAAATAGACCCCAAAATTAACTGGATTTGCATTTAATATTGTATTTGCGCTTATTTTTTTGGGGGATTTATTCATTTTTTTTTTTGTTTTTTTTTTTTTTTTGTTTTTTTGTTTTTTTTTTTTTTTGACATTTACGCGACAACAAATGGACTATCTCTACGGTTGATCTAGGAACAATATTTTGCTTCTTCAATAAATTGCAAAGGACTGTTTTAACTATAAGAATCATTGTCATCAAGTCGCCAAGTTGAATTCTTTTTGTTCTACTATTGATTATGCATTCTTATGAAATTGTTTCTCACTCTTTAACATGTCAATAAATTTTATGATTTTTGTGTTCATAATCTCACCCATATTTACAACCCATTTCATAAATGCATAATAGAATTCAAGTTTAAGATTATGCCAAGATATATTAAATAGCTATCATATTGAAAAAGACATTTATCATTGATTTTTTAAATAAGAATAATAATTTATTTTTTTAGATATCATTTTACTTTTATATGCCTATCATTTTTCACTCAATAATAAAGAGTCTAAATCTTTTTCACAAAAATGTTTTCATACTTCAATTTTTTTTATATATTGTATATGTTTAATTATTTAGTTCGAAACTTTTTTTGAGGACATTATACAATATATATAGGAATTTTCAAATTTATTATAATTTTTTAAAATAATATAAAATTAACATTGACTATTTTAAATAGTTTTTCATTTTTATTTGTTCAAATATACTGTACAGTATATATATATTTTTATTGTATAAACTTGATTGATATTTGTTTTGTTAAATTTCTCTTAAATAAAAATTTTATATTTTAAGATATACTAATAATTCAAGCTTATATAACTATTTGCAAATTGTTCAAATTAATAAATTATTATTTTTTTATTTTTTAATTATAACTAGTATTAAATGCAAGATTATTTTTTGAATAACCAATTAGTTTTTCTGACATCTATAATTTTGTACATATTACTGTATACATTTTTATATACATGCAAATAAATAATAATACAGTAAAGAATAAAAAAAATTAAAATTATGTGAATATGTACATAAAATGATATTAAATGACATAAAATTTAGATTATTTATAAATTAATATTTAATAATTTATTTATAAAAAAATCAATATAATATTTATTGTATATTTTATTTTTATTTATTACTTTTTGACGTATCAATTTATTAAATTTATATATCTTTTAGAAGTAATTTAAAGATTTTATTCCATTCTACAATTATTACTTTTTGGATCTTTTAATTTTTTTGATATATGTTTCTTTATATTTCTTTTGATAATAACTCACAAATTTTTTATTTATTTTAAATCAAAGCTATTAAATAACAACTCATAACTTAATTTTTTTGAAAAAATATTTTTGTAAAATCATTTATATATTATGGATTATTATCTTACTACTTTCATTAATAAGAATTAAATATTTCTTTATTATTAAAACATATTTACAAATGATTTTAATTAAATTTAACAATTATTTTTTAAAACTATTTAAACAATGTTTTTTTCTTTATAAAAATCTATTTCATGTCTTATTTTGTGTATAATCTTAAAAAAATACAATATATTAATAGTGACTTCTTATATATCATAACATATTTATTAATTATTATTTTTTAATTAAATTTTTAAAATTATTAATACAATTTTAAATTGGATAAAATTATTTTTTAATCATTTTAACAATAAGAAATTAAAATAAGAAATAATTATCAAAGTTAAAATAAAAATCAAATAAAAAAGATTTAATAATTAACATTTTTAAAATTTACAGTAAACAAAATATTTTTATATGGAATTAATGAACTCTTGTAAAGAGAATTTTCAAGATCATTTGTTATTTTTTATAGTAATATTTTATTATTTCTAATATAATAAATTTTATAATTTGAAAATTTTTTTTTAATTTTTTTTTTTTTTAAATTTTAATTTTTAATTTTTTTTTTTTTTAATTTTAATTTTTTTTTTTGAAAAATGTATAAATACAATTACTGCGTTTTAATAAAAATTATAAATATTACTCATTTTAATAATATAACATAAAATTTTTAAGTACAGTAAATCTATTGAGAAACATAAATACAAAATTTTATAAAGTATTTCCTAAATTATTATTATTTCTGTATATACTGTATTTGGTTAAAAACTTAGCACACGTACATTACAATGCGTAGTACTTTTAATACAGATACGTATAGATAGACTACAGAATTTATCTCATTGCACATTTTGATTAATAACAGCTACTCTGTGAAACTTTGTAGCAACTAAATCTAATAGAAAAAAAAATTAATTTGACTTTGGAAATGATGAATAGACAAATTACAGATACGTACGTAGTAAAATCTTTTTTTTTTTTTATATAATTTACGTAATTAATTTAATAAAAGATCATTTGATGTGTAATCAAAGCATTTAATTTTATCGTGAATATCAACCGAACTCTTTTTTCAAACTCCACCGGTTAAAAGTGAATCCATGTGCCGCTCACCGGGCAAGCCGCTAGAGTTTAGGGACACATGTTCAGAATGAAAAGTTTAATAAATGTTTTGTCATGTCATTTGTTATTAGGTGGGTGCTATTCCATGCTGCTATTGAAAATTGACTCGATACGAGTTTATGTGAATGATTTGATAGTATCTTCAAATAATCGAACACATTATAAATATTACGTTAACAAGTTATTTAGCATTCTCCTGGCACTTCCCTTGACGAGGTAATACGAAATATGGTATTATTGTGTTTATATTGTCCCATATGTTAAGTAAAAATTTTTTTACGATCGACGCTATCACAGTTGTCTAGTGCTTTTTTTTACGGAATGAGGTAGGAGAGGTTGGTCTTTTAGATGTTTTAGATTCAAATCTGAAATTAAATTCGTCTCAATAAATTCATAAGATTTAGACAAGCTCCCACTTGCATACGTTCCAATTGCAATAAGCCCGCGTATGTTGAGGTGAACGGAATTGTGCACCCTTATTGTAGCAAGACTTGTGCTTCTGTGTATACCGCGAATGTCAGAAAATGTTCCAACACCTGGTGCAATAAACTTAGATATGTGGAGGCTGACGGAACGGTTTTTGCTTATTGCGGAAAAACATGCGCGAGAACGCAAACAAAGTGTGCTCGAAACGGATGTAATCGCGGAAGATACACTCAGTCATCCGATAGAACAAAGTTTTATCTATTTTGCAATCCCGCTTGCTACTGGTCCGAATCTGATAATTTAACCTCCACAAAAATCACATCACTCTCTCCTAGTAATCTGAAATATGTTCATGTCTACCAACAATTCTTATCCATGATGTCTCAAGCTAGGATTCAGGGAATTTTACTCTTGCAGATGCCAAAGAATATTGTCCGCGCTCATGATAATTTGAAGAAGGGAATGTCCATCTCCGGAACTAGATTGCATAGAATGTATCACGGAACCAAATCCCTCTGTGATCCTGGGAAGTTGATTACTAATAGAAGGCCGTCTTGTAAATCAGGCTGCGGAGTTTGCGGAATCATTAAAGAGGGAAACAACAATCATTATTCACATGACCGTACCAATATGTGGTTTGCGAGAAATCCTGCTACTTCTAATTCTTACACGGGAGGACACGTTAATAAAGCAATTTTTTGTGTGGATGTTATTTCCTCCTCTGCGCCTACTGACTTTATTATTGTTAATTCAAACCCGGTAATTCAAATATCATTCTTTTTTACTGTTATTTTAAATATGTTGCACAAATATTGAACCATCTTTCGTATTTATCAGTCCACCTTGCCACGATTTTTGATTATCTATCAGTAATAATGGGAATCTCGTCTCTCCTACTGGTGAACTGATAAATTTCTATGTTATTCGGACTCGGTTCTCGAGAACTTGATAAAACAGTCAATTATTATGTGTACTCATTTTTATTGCAAGTTTTACGAGTAATTTACGGAACTAGTTTTGTAAAAAAAAAAATTTAAGAAAAAAATTTTTTTCTTCAATTTGCAATTTTCTTAATTTTCGTTTGAATAATGAGATACTACATTGACTAGCATTCTTGAACAAAACTACGGTTACGGTTATTATTGCGATCAAAACTTGGTTATTCAATCTTCTAATTGCAAATAAGTACGTAAAGCCAAAATTTTCATAAAATTAAATATTTTATTAAATGTGGTCGTATTGCATAACGTCACATCTCTAAAAATAAAGGTATCTCGGTTTTCACAAAATTTCTGTACAATATTACGAATACGCGCAGCAGCAAGTAATAATCGGCACAAAACTGCTATATACGTTTACAGTACTGTTGTTGCATCATACTTGTAAGAGCCCTTATGTCAAACGCAAAAAGTTTTTGGCAACTTCTCAAGTCTGAATGGTGATTTTATCAATATTTCCGCAGATCTCGTCAATCCTTTTAATCATGCCTTCATTAGATTTAATGACTCTCGAAATCACCGCATTCTCTTCTTGTATGCTGTGAAGTAAAGCTTTTCGGTGGTCTTCATAAGAGCATTTTATTTCGAATTCGTTATATCCTGTGATCATTCGAGTTTTGTTTGATAATGTGAATGAACTTTTTTTTGATTTCCGAATTATTGAAAAAAGAAATACTGTAGCTACATACGCACCTATGTTAGCAACATCATCATTGCAAAGCACGCAAGAACACCCATGTGAAATGCGGTTTTTATGCCTCTTCCAAATGAATTCTTTCGGACCCAATTTAGAATTCCCTGCCTCAGCAACATCTTCCTCATTTTTAGAAACATCAGGCGAGTGCCTTTTTCTCAATGTATTTTTTGACGAGGTAGAAGAGGTGGCAAGAAATGTGTCAATGTCATTTCGATTTGTGACATTTATTGAATAAAATTTTCTGGACTCTTTTGGATCAATATCTGAGAAAGCGCCAATACAAGAGTTACTTCTAGATCGGAAATGGGTGGATTTTGATAACCCGGAAGCAAGTGACCTTTTTTTCGGTCGATAATCACACCGAGAGGCTCCAGACGATATTGTAGCGGATAATGGAGCAAAATCTGGGCCTATTTCTCTTTGCTTGCCTTTTTCCGTGGTTATATTTAACAATGAATTGGATCGATGGCGGAATTTTGGTTGTTCTGGCTGAAGTGAATGGTGATCGCATAGTTCAACAGGAGATAATGAGGCCGACACTTTGGTATATTTGTGAAAAAAAAAAAAAAAAAAAAAATTTAGAGAGGTTTGCATTATCATCAGAAAATGTCATCTGCACCAAATTTTGGCCTCAATATAAATCATACCGCTTCCACTTTCTTCATTTCCTTCATACTCCTCTTCACTATCCGATAAAAGACGATGTAAAGCCACTTGAAGTGTTTGTTGTTTCTGTTTCGGATCTTTCAATATGCACGAGGCTTGTAGTTTCAACTTGATCAACTGTTCTTCATCAAATATGTCCATTGTATTCGTTGGGTTATTTATGGCTTCGTATATCAGAATATTGGTTGCTGCAAAGTTCCAAAAACGAAGCGTATTCACCTTTAATCGTGGGATAAGATCCTCGTTTGCGTTGATCATATTTCTCAGGATTCATTTTAAAGAAATCAAACAAGTTAAGATACTTTCTCTCTAGTGTCATATAATTCCGTGACGCAAAGTGATATCATAATGACGAATGCATTTAGTCGGCACACCTAGTGACAACAGTCGGTTGAAGTCATGGCCGAGAGTGCGGGCCAACAATTTACTGTGTATAGAAGATTAAATAAATATATCTTTTGAAATATCATAAATTAACAACAATTAGTGTTTAATTCTAATCTTCCATTCTGATATTAAATTGCCAAACAAATTGATTGATTTAAACGTAAATAAATGCGTATAATTGAAAACAAACAAAAAAAATTATTGATTTTTAATTATATAGTACAACTTAATTTAGAAACCCCCCTTTTTTTTACTTATTAAAAGCTCAAGCCAATCTAATTTTCGGATGCCAAGAATAGCAAGCTATAAGGAACAATAAAACAATCAATTGATTTTATAGAATTTTAGTATAAGTAATATATAAAAATTTTTTATTAAGTAATATCCGTACGTACAGTAGGGGACAAAAAAAAAATTGCCTTTTTTTAAAATATATTTGATTTAATAAAGAATTATCTAAATTAAATCAAACTTAAAATATAAATACTTAAATATCTAAAAATTAATTTTACTTAAGACTATTTTATAACTTTTATTATTATTACTATTTTATATTTTTATTTTAATTAAAAAATTTTATATCATACACAAATTTTACAAAATAATATATATAAATTTAAATTTTTAAATATAGTTTTATATATAATTTGTTATAAAATAATATATAATTTATAATATTTATACAACTTAATATATAAATTTTTAAAAAAAAATTAAAAATAATATTAATTAAATATAAATTATTTTAATTAAAAATTATTTTATAAAATTAAAATATTTATATCAAAATTTTTTTATATTTTTTAAATAAATAAATTTTATATTATAATAAAAATTTTAATTTTTAAAAAATTTAAGCAATTTTTTTTGTCTTCTATTGTATATAATTAAGATTGGTTATTAAAAAATTTAATATCAGATTAAAATAAGTAAAAATTTAAAAAAAAACTATAAAAATAATATTTTAAAAAAATAAAACCAATAATAAAAAAACAAGTTTTTTTAATATATAAAATTTTTATTATAATTTGTTTTAAAAATAAAAATTTTTTTAGATATTTTATAATTAAAATTTTTTTAAAAAAAATCTATTTATTATTAATAATAAAAATATTACTTTATTTTTTTTAATCATTAAAAATTGAATTTTTAATCAAAAAAAAATTATAAATAAATAAAAAATATAATAATAACTATACGGTTGCTTCCAAAAGTTTGAGTCCACTTACTATATTTTTATTATAAATTTCAACTTTGACAATTTTTAAATC